AGTCAACAACAATCAAAACGTTGTCATGGAATCCATGTTGCGGGTTGACACACCACACTATAGATGCAAACGCTAAAAGATCGGGGATCCGGGATCACCGAGACATGTTGCTTGCAGTGTTTAAACTTGTTGGATCACTGAAGGGCAAGCAAGCAGCCGTAGGGTATATTAGGCCAATGACGTTTTTCTCGTGCAAGGTCAATGAAGAACCGCCCGACTGGGCTATTTCTGACTACCAGAAATCCTGCATTGGCACAATGATGGTGGTAGTCCTCTCTTGGAGAGTCTCCTTAGTACAAACAGCGCCGAACCGAGAGCTGCCCAAGAGTGTACTTGGGGCTTTAAAACCACACGGCAATCCGGCCACAATTATGGTGCCCCGTGTGAAATTGGCAAACCACTGTGCCAGTAGCGACGTACAGCGACACCAAACGAGGAGAACAACCCTGTCTTGAACCACCGCAACATTAGTTATCAGAAGCAACTGGGGTAGATCTCACGATGTCTCAGGCCTGTCTGAGCGTCTGATGATGACATCAGGTAGACCGCCATCCGCGGTTTGGCCCACCAAATGGGTGAAGGAGAAGGAGTCAAAGCAACACGGTGAGAGGGTCAAATCAAAGTCCAGCCACACCAACCTTGGCTCAAACAGGGAAGAAAAACAGAAAAGAACATCAAAAGCTACGGTTACTGGTAACAAGGTGCATCGCTACTAGTAGCAACAAGCTACTACTGTAGTAACACTGTAGTAGCATTACTATTAGTAACAAGAAGAAGCTGCTAGTAGCGATGCCCTTGTTACTTGTTACTAGTAGCTTTTTGCTACTACTAGTAATGCCCTTGTTACTACTAGCAATGCCCTTGTAAGAAGAAAAAATGTCCTGACCTTCTTGTTGCCATTTATTCTTAGAAGATCACATTAGTTGCAATCATGCGGTGTCAGCCACATGCAAGCCTCACAAGCCCATCTGTTTTTGGACAACATCCTGGCCTTCTGCCCAACATCTCATGCGGCAACATCCAAGGCACCACTCGGTGTGTATCAAAGCTGCCCCCAAGGCCTCCAGCGAGTCCCAAAAACCAGGCGGTTGATTAAAAATCACCAGCTTATCCAAGACTTCTTGCTCATCCATCCGCGCTTCCAAGAAGGATCCTTAGAGAGGCTCTTGGAGGAGATCCAAAGTGCCCGGAAGCTTTGATTATTGAAAGATATTGAAACATGTGGGAACTGGGTCTGGTTGAGAGCATCGACTGCTCCAGGTGGCAAATACCTTGTGAAAAGGATAATTAAGGGGTTTGCGTGTCAGCCATGTGACTAGAAACTACACACCTGGATCATGGAACATGTATGTACCAACTCCAATTCCACTCCTGATTGTTCCACACTGCTTCTTCAGCAACAAGAGTCCAGATGGAGTGCGCCCATCCGCGGTCGCAGGCTGTAAAAATGGATACTTCGACCAAAAGAAATCGTCGGCTTTGGTGGAGCTCGCCCAGAAAAGGCCCAAATACCCTGCGAAGACTTGCCCATCGAAGTAGGTTTCCTGAAGCGGACCCAATCATGAGATGTGCCCCTTGTCAACATCACATGGAGGTCATGCACCATCGTGGGGCTGTCAAGCAGGCATAAACACAAAACAATGAAGCTACAGTCTGTGTCACCTCCCTCTTGTAGAGCGCAAGGTTGTCTAATCTTTTGGTATGGCTTCGGTCAGGAACTCAGCACCAATCAAACACAGGTCTGCAACACACCAATAACAATTCCATCATGCCTTCCGCGCAACATTGCCAGACTTCCACCATGTTCCACCGACCCGGAACAACATGGCACAGGAAGGGGCCGATAAAGAAAGTCTCCCTTTTAGCAACTACATGAGTGATTGAGAAAAACGTTTTGGCTTCTCTGCTGTTGCAGTAGATCTCCAGGGGTCCAAGACTGTGGGAAGCATAAGGTGCCCAACTTTGTTTTTGAGTTCTATCCATGGCCCCCCGACCTCTGGAGATATCAACCATCTATAAACTCTAATACCCTGCCACGTCGAGCAGCCATATCAAGCCAGAAGCGATGCTGTTGCACCTCTGCAAAGGCCTCCCATGCTCTCAACTGACCACGCCAGGGGCCTGGAGGCCGCGAGGAAATAGAGGGGGCCGCTTGGAACCTGGCTTGGGTGCTGTTTGATCTTGCCACCCCAAGCACTAAACACGTCAACGAGTTGATGCTGAAATCGTGAAAGTTGTCTCACAAAGTCTGTCTGACCTATGGACACCCTGCAGTGCACCGTGGCACAATTCAACAGCTGGACACAAGAATGCGAGGAAATCCCACGGACCATCGGCGTGGTCGTCCTGAAGCACTTTTGGAGTCGGCATGCATGCCTGGGAGCACAGAAGCAAGGGCTCGCAACTCCGAACTAGTGTCAACCCGCTCCAAGTACCCTACCAACAGATCTTCAACTTCACTGCCTGAACAAACAACTTCACCAAAAAGGCGGAAACAAAAACTTGCTGAGCAAAATCCTAGTGCCAATTGTGACGTCTTCCTTGGAAGGATGGACGCCCCCCTGGCGTTCCTTGAGTTCCAAGCGCTTCAAGTGAAGCCACTGACGGATGCGGCGGCGACGGAAGCGGCGCACCCGCTTCTGCATCTGCATCCAATACCTACAGCTGCGAATGGGAGCTCCAAAAGAGGGTGGTCAGTCATCTTGGATTGGTGACGCAATGCGGAGCATTCGATGGAACCACATGAATTCTCAGCCCACATCAAAGTCACCCAAATTCTCTACTGCAAAAGGATATTTTGGCACCTTCAGATGAAACATGATAAGTGATAAAACTTGGTGTGTCAGGCACGCTCTTCTGAAAAGTTTCATTTTTCGCGAAACAATTTCAATCAAACATCGCTCAAAATAGCAATTAACTGAAAGGCTGAAAGCATGTGCGTGTTGTAGAGAGCTTGAAGTTGGATGACAATTGGTCAAACTGCCCTCAACCATCAGGCCGGGATGCTGCTGCCGCCAGTAATCTGTTGCAGCAGACCTGAGTCTGAAATCTTGTTTGGGGTAAGATGTGCCCAGTATAGAGGACATCTCTTGCAAAAGCACAACCAAAGCGATAAAGCTGTACCTGACATTCACTCGCATTCAATGCGAGCGGCCCTCTTTGCGGCGTTCCAGCTAACCAACCTTTGTCATCTTTCTCCGGGTAGCAATGGGTAGCATATAGTAGTATCTGCGGCTGCCTAATCTTTGGCGTTCACAGGTCCCCTTGGCATCAACTTCAAGTTCCTGGGAGGGATTTGAGTGGATTTAACATGAATGATTTATATAACCTATCTCGTTGAAGCCATTCAATCAACCTTTGCACAGCAACCAAAAGCCTTAAGCAAATCACTCGAGGCCGTCTTGCTGGTACTGCTTCTGTTTCATGAGTACACACCAGCCCCCTTCTGCAGCCATGGAGCCGGTCGACTCCTGGCAAACTCAAAACACCCGTGTTCAAGAAAAGCGTCCCCAGGCTGCACCTTGGGAAGTCAGCTCAAACAAGAGATGCAAATCTCAGTTGAACTAGACATGGAGAGGTCCCTGTTTTTTCTTCCTTCTTCAAGCTTACATTTTGATGACGGTGCTTTGCAAGAAGCTCATCAACGTCGCTGACCTATGAAAACAAGCTCAGGAAGCACGGGCAACAAGTATTCCAAAACAATAGCTGAGAATAACCTTGCCGGCCGGTGAGCTGCATGATGTTAGTAATGCTACTCTGCAACTCAAGCAAATCTTGCATCACTTTACTTAAAGACATGTGATGGAGTGATGGATCCATCTGAACATGTTTTTTTTGTTTGGGGCTCGCGTGCAACTTTTGCCAGCGTGCCCATGCGACGCAGTGCTTGGATTCTCTAAGTGTCAACGCTTTCGTGGTGAAATTGCAACTCAATGCTCTGCACTATCATACAAATGCTTATGTGGCACATTGATGAGTTCCACCTTTGCATAATTCAAAACTGAAACTTGAGACAGAATGTTGATTACAATATGAGCTCTCTGGGGCAATTTGCTGTTCCTGTTTGACTCCGACCCCTCCAAACTGTTTGCAAAATTAAGCGGCTGCTGCACAGTGGAACAGTTCAGGAGCTCCGACGCAAACTCGTGGATCCGCAAGATGCCCGGTTCCCATAGCTCACGAGGAAGTTGTGTCGCCAGCCTTGGTTGCATTGGCGGACTTGCTTGGAATTTCACTGAATTTCTATGCTCTTCACCGGTGTTCAGCCGACTGGAGTATCGCAATTTTGACTGTGGAAAGCCGTGAGTCGTCACGGAAGCAACTTGTTGACACAGGAGCTGCGGCAAGTGTGCACAAAATGCCACCAAAGACATGTCGGAGTTTCCTGTCTCAAAGACTCTAGGCATTCCAAAACCCTCTAGCTGATGTCTAGGTGGAGGGTAAAGAAGCCCGAGCCGCCCATACAAATGATTGCATTCCGGTAGAAGGTCAAACTTTTCGAGGTTGAACGGATGGCATGTGCCGGTGGAGCCCCGTGGAAAGCTCATCCAACCTCACTCGCCATGGCTAGGCAGCTAGGGAGTGGATTCAATTCCACAGAAATGTAATTGTGGCTAGCTTCGTAGTTGGGCGTGTGTTCGTTTGCTTGCAAGACTTTGCATGAATTCTAGCCATGCCTGTCTGGAGAAGCCCATTCATTGTCAGCACGTGTCTTTGCATATTTAGGACCTTAGTTACGCTGCCTCACTTTGCTCACTTCTGAGCTCATTTCTCCAAGGATTCACCCTATGTGCACCTAAGTCACCTAAGCGTAAAATCTGCGGCGGAGCACAGCTGAGCACCTCACACCCTGCTCGGTCTTTAATCATGGGCACTTTGTGGTGAACCTGAAGTAGAAGGTTAAATTCTGTCTTGCCTGTGTGGTCTGTACCGAGCATGGGAACTCCAAATACTTCAGCAAGCAGCACCTGACATGGTCGATGCCCCAGCCATGTCCGGGCCTACCATTCCGAGCCAAGCCGTACTGCACTGCCTCGACCTGCAAGTGAGCCGAATAAACATCTGTTTGATGGCTTCAACTCGCTTTTCTTTGAGGGTTCAATCTTCCCAAGTAGAGGTTGACCATGAAAATATGTGAAACCACGCAAACATGTATTTTTGATGTGTTGGTTGACATGGATGATGAAAAGGTCCTCCTTCGTAGCTTGTCCCAGCAACCGTCCCAGGGGCCGCGGGCCCCTTTTTTTGGCACTCAAAATTGCTCAACGTCAGGCCCAACACAAAGTTATGAACTGATACAGTGGACTTATGACTTATGAGAATCTTTATCTGCTACAGGTTGGACATGGCAAACAAACGCAACCAGTCTATCTAAAAAACATGTCATTTGAACTTCACGTGGAGCTTCATTTTGCTCTATTTTGTATTTTGTATTCTCATCAATCGGCAAAAGAATGAAACACATTTGATAACACATGAAAACAAACTACCAAAAAGAAAGCAACATGATACAAGTATGAAAACACACTGATAAACAAATGAAAATGAAATGGACAACTCGAGCTCTTTCGGTTTTGGACAATTCTGGAACCTTTGTTCAGACTGCGGTCGGGTGGCTAGCTAGCGAGGAGCCTTAATTTGACGAGGAAATGAAACAAACAAACATGAAGTCAAAATGAAACAAACATGAAGTCAACATGAGAATGAAATGAACAAAAAATAAGATATCAATGATGTCTCCAGAAGCGCAAGAATGAACACAAAATGATCATGAAATGAACATTCGCTCATGTTTAGAACCAGCCAAGCTGTAGCCCAAAGAACCTCATAACAGTAGACCCAGCCTGGAAGGGCAGCAGAGTGCCACCCAGCCCATCAAGTTTCAAGTCCTCCAGCATTCAGCTGATCATAGCTGATCAGCTCGTAAGAAAACTGTTTTGAGACAACTTGTTCAAACAACACACAACATCATCAAACGAACATAATTATTATGAATTATTGGGATTGTGCCTCTCTGTGGTTTTGAGTTTTGAACTCATCTGGCCGGGCTGTTCGAGAAGCCCCTCACCTCCGCCGATGGCAACATCCGCGCAGACAGCGCACTGGATCCGGCTGGCGTGGATGGCGCCGGCGCCGGCGGCAGCTCGGCCAGGAGACGGCGAGTGGCGGCTGAGAGGCGAAGGGCAGCCGTGGCCTTCACCTGTTCCACTCGATTCCAATCTGTTCCTTCACCTGTTCCGTGGCCTTCACCTTCACCTGTTCACCTGTTCCTTCACCTGTTGCCTTGGCGTATATTGGCGTCCTTCAGGGAGGGGGGGGTCCTGCAGTCGGCTGTAAATTGTTTAATCTCTGCCCAGACCAGCTCACCACCAAGCTGGCATTTGGGGCCTGCTCTGCGGCAGTGGCGAAGGCAGGGACGTGCTTCAGCACCCAGCTGGGCACGCCATTCACCCGGCAGCGGAAGTCCGGGTTCCACTCCTGCAGGGGCAGGGGGCCTCTTCAGGGAAGCAAGTGCTGGGCATTTCGAAGCCGACGTTGGTCTGAGCTCAGAGTTCAGCTGACCAAAAGCTGGTTGCATTTCCTGGGAATTGAACGAAACCTCAATCGAAAAGCTGTCCGATTTCTTGCATCTGCAGTTGCATGGACCAGGCTGGAGCGAGCCGCCAGGTTTGTTGTCGCAACGCTTGACCCTCAGCCCTCAAGCAGATTTGCAAAGCCCTCTCCAGCCACCGGAGGACATCTATGTAACCTTGGTGTGGTGCTAAGCGGCTACTGCGAGCTTGCAAGAACACGCGTGACCCCACTGAAAGACATGGTAAAATCGGCGGGACACTGTTTGCATGGTTGTTTGTCAAATTGTGTCGCATTCTAGTGATCCCACCAATGGCAGGGTAAACAAACAAATTCCAAATTCTTCCTGCAACAAGTTGCGTTTAGCAAGGCTCATCATGACTCGTCCACATCAATTCCCTCTGTAATTAAAGCATATCTGCAAACAATTCGAGAACCCCTCCACACCTGGGACGGACGACGTTTCGGTACCATCGACCCTGTATAGGTGCAGGCGCGCCACTGGAGGCTGGGAAGCGCCAGTGATTGGCACTGGGCGCAGCCCGCCCGTCCGGGCGCGCGGCGAGCGCTTGGCGCAGTGTCCAGGGGACCTGACTCAGTGAAACACCGGGCGACCACGGGGAGGTTTGGATGTTTGGGGATGTGGCCACTCTTCCTAATAGCGTCCTTGCTCCTAGTAGTAAGGCCAGGAGCCCCTAGTAGCTTCTTGTTACTAGTAGCGATGCCAGGAGCCCCTAGTAGCGTCCTTGCTACAAGCGAATCAAGGAATCTTTGGCTTAGGAATGAACTTCGGTGGCACTGCTGACCGGTCGCCTCTGCATTGGCGTCTTCTGGGCCCACGTCGAACTCATCAGCGCTGACCAACTGGTGAGTTGCCGTGCCCACATGCACATCACAGCCAGTATCAAGTGCTCACTTTGCTCAAGAAGTTAAACATGTGCCCATGGTGTCGCACACGACTTGCAAGTGCTCAGAAACGCTTAGCCGCCTAGCGAGTCATTGCTAGGCTCCAGGCCTCAAGATCCATGGTGAAATCAAACCGGATCCCAGCGCTTTTGGCGGTGCCTTCCTGCGGCCCAGGGCCCAAAACGCATAAGTCCGTCAATAGGAACACGGCTCAGATCAAACCATCCAAATCAAACCTAAATCCGCTTCCCCTCCCCGTAAGCTCAGAGACACGGCTACCTTCAGGGTCACCTCAGCATCGACAGCTCTGGGTGGCCGTGGCTCGCGGGAGCTTCGTACCACATGGGCGTCCAGGGATTGCTGGCCACGCCTCAGCGATCACCCCCCACTGGGGCCAGACCCACATGCCGTCAAATGAACATCTGCCAAAACATGAACAACTATATAACTAGTTGATCTTGACCTGCACTTGGGCCCAGTTGCTCAGCACCTCCCCTCCTAGACACCATTACACACCATCAAACTGCCTCAAACATCCACCAGAATCCATCCTCTCATCCCACGGTCCGAGAGACCCTGCCTGCTCCCACTCTTCAAGAACTCGACAAAGGACCGCAAGTAGCCTGGAGGCCGGTCGGAACCAAGCCGATCTGGCATTCCTTCATCGCACAATTGTTTATGCCGGAAACACGGAAAACAACCACCATGGTCAACATGGCCCTTTGGGGCTGGAAGTCTCCAAAGAACATTCCAAACAAGAAACCAAATTCATCTTCTACGCTGCAGTGCAGCCGTGCAAAGAAACTAAATTTGGCAAATCAATCTTCGCAGGATTGCTTTAGAAATGGAATTGCCAGCACTGCTTCCCCTCAGAACTCTGGGGGTTGTAAAAGAAGGTCATCTAGCATTCTTTGTTAAGCTTTTGTGAGGCACCAATGCTTATGTATAACACGATGCGGATTCTTCAACTTTGGTAGTGCAAGAAGAGAATAGCATTCGCTCCCATCGACTCCCCTCCGCCATGTATGGTGCGTGAGGTTGTTGGCCTGGAGGCGATTTCTGCTTCTTGGCCCAGGTGCAGAAAGCAGTCTCCGTGCCTGGCTGGTGCAGCTGACTGGCTCAAAAAGGCACCACCAAATAGGATGAAGGGACAATGATGGTCCATGAAGATTCAGTGATCTCGGTAGATAGTACACAATCACACAAAGTTAGGAAAGTCGGATATCTATGTATATATCACGCATATATGCAGTACTAACTGCAGTACTATATACTAGTACTACCACAACTGCTACGACTAATTATTGTTGCTACTGCTGCTGCTGCTGCTACTAAAGATTAGAGAGTGGCAGGCTGTGAGAGTGCACTTTTTTGCTATTTTTAGAATTCCATTAAGTCATTTGACATGTATAGTTTTGTGGCTTATCAGCATCTATGTAGTGTCCAGTTGCCTTTGAGTCTGGCCCCAAAAACACACACATATATATATATATATCTAATCTGTTCCTGCTCTCTTCATATGAACAAACATATTATGTATTCCTGAATCAGGGTCATTTTATTGTTTTGGAAGCAGCAAGCAGTCATTCAGATGCTTTTGAACAACATAATTAGGAAAGAAGCAGACCATAAAAGTGTCTCTAGATCTCTGCTTATATTTATGTTTAGATTTGGAAATATTTTATATAGACGCGTTTATGTTACACAAGATTCTCTATAGATCTCTGCAGATCTATATTTTTAGATTTAAACAACTATATAGAAACCTTGTATGTTAAAAGCTTTATTCTAGCTTTCTGCGGGTAAGAGCTTGCATTTTCAAAGTTTTCCTCTGGATCTTTGGGAAAGTAGATATCCCATATATGTGTGTTTTCAAGAAATGAAAGCTCTTGAAAGAATACCATATTTATTGATATATTGCATGTTTAAATTGACATGATCATTTCCAGAGATCCAGAGGAAAGCTTTTGAAATGAAAGCTTTTGTATATTTTTATTGTAGAAATGATCATCCACAGAGATCTAGAGGGAAGCTCTTGAATTAGAAGCTTGTACATAAAACAAGTTTAATATGTCTATATTATTTCCAGTGATTACTGTAAATAAACAAAATCCAACTATTTACTTCAAAAAAGAGTTGTAGTCTTGTTCCCAGCACTCCCAGGGCAAAAAAATACTGTAAAATACGGGGTTTTGTAGCATGTGTTTTCTTAAACTAAATAGACTAGAGCTAGAATAGAATTAGGTAGAATAAAATGGGATTTGAGTTAGAGCTAAGATAGAACTGAATTAACACCTAAGTTCAACTAAACTTGTATTGAACTATAACTATAACCTATTTAAAAATTAGATGAGAGTTGAATTAGAAAGGAATTGGAATCAAAATTAGAATTTCGCCAGAATAAGATGTAAAACGCTTGAGCTACAAGATGCACAAGTCGAGGAGGCTTCGAAATTACAAAGCCGAAGCAAAAGCAACAAGCATTGAATTAGAACTACAGCTTACACAGATTCATAACAATTTCATGTAAATTGGAAGGTATCATTACAGTTTCATGTCAAGCTGATTGGACATGCAATTGGCAACCACATTGATTCCAGAAGTTAATGCACAGACTTGTACATGGAGATTTCGACAAGGACAAAGGGAGTGGTGAGCTCAGACGCTTTCATTGTAAGAGCAAAGAACATATGCCTTTAGGTGAGACTTAGGCTCACATACTTGAAGGTTGAACGAAATAGTAAGAACACAGATTGACCTCAATAGGAAAACCAAAAAACACAAAATCTTGAGAAAACCAATAACAACCTAGGAAAGGTCAAAAAACCTTGAGAAAACAAAAAAAAAACAAAGAAACCAAAAAAAATAGAAAAACAATATTCAGAGAGTCTTGGCTGGGAACCCACCCCCTCCAGAGAGTCTGAAACTATTGTTTTTTTTTTTGGGGGGGGGAGTTTCTTTGTTTTTTTGTTTTTGGCACCCCCTAGATCCAAATATTGCCTTGCCTTGCCTGCTGCCACAAAGAATATGCAGAAAATCCTGGCTGCAGAGAGTCTGAAAATACAATTTTTCTTGTTTTTTTCAATGTTTTTGATGCCACTCTAGATCCAAATATTGCTTTGCCTTGCCTGCTGCCACCCTGGGAGTGCAGTTTCTGTAATAAAATCTAGGCCTAAGAACAAAAATAGCAAAAAACTGCACTCTCAGGGCCTGCCGTTCTGACAAATTACTACTACTACTACTACTACCACCGCCACCACCACCACGACGACCACGACCACGACCACGACCACGACCACGACCACGACCACCACGACCACGACGACGACGACTACTATTGTGGCTGCTACCTTTACATTGACAAAAGTGGACACACCTGTGACGCGCAAGGAAGTGGTGGGCTGTTGGACTGTTGGGCCTGCCACATCACTGAACCATCGGCCCTTGAACTTGCCAGCATTGAAAACCGCATCCATGGCTTGGATCAAGCGATTTCATTGGAATAAAAGTTTGTCCTTGCTGGTCTGACAAAGCACTCGCAGAAACACTTCCATTCTCACCGTAATCAGTTCAAGCATGGGGAGAATATGGGAGAATACATGGATCTACCACCTCTCAGCATTGTTCCCATGAACACCCCCAGTGTCAAATGCTGATCACCTTGACACTGTATGTCAAGCTGCAGACCATTCTTGAGCATGTACTCGAGCCCAGTGCCGAGAATCATTTGAAATGCTCTATTTTGCTTTGACTGACTATCAGCTTGATGGCAAGGTCTTGGATACCCAATCCATGCTAGGTAGGAATTGCCGGGGCTCTACTTCATAAAGGTTAGACTTAGACCGTTGTGCTGCCCTGCCCAAAGGTTTCCAATAAGGTCAGGATCGTCCATTTTCCGTGAGACACACCCAATTTTTGCGGGACGGACCAGCTATCGACGATCGACTGCTCCGCCTCCACCTGATCAAGGCCAAGCTCTAAGCTCAGTAGACATTCTTCAAACCACCACGACAGCGTGCAAGGCAACACTTGAACTGTTGCCATGCAGTGGCCTCTCTTCCTTGCCAACATGCTGCACACAACTCCACAACCCCCCCTGGCTTCGCTAGTCTCAAACTTCGGACAGTAGTTGCTGACTGTCCGACTGCCCGTTTGACCTGGCTTCAAAAAGCACGAAGGAAGCACCACCCAAGTACCTGTACGGTACCTACCGCTATGAGATGAATGAAAGGGCACAATGGAAACCGCACACGGGTATGGATACAAACCTCGCGGGGCTGCAACAACGCCAGGATGGAATAAACATCATCATTGATCGACCTTTCAATTTCAAACCAGCACTTGCACAGTGTCATCTGCGCCGTGATGTTCGCACTGCTCAAACATCTAAAAGCTTCTAAAAGCAAAGTTTCACCGCGCGAAGCACTCCACTTCTGCACAATTGGAGCACGAGTAGGGGTTACACCGGGACACCTCATGAGGGTCGCCGGTTTACTAGGCCCTATACAAAGAGATTTCAGATCCTATTGGTGTTGTGTTGGGTGTGGAGAGTTGAGTCGTGCTCGAGAAGTACAACTAGTGTCCAGTGCACAGCGGCACAGCGGCGTCATTTGCATGGCACATGGAGAGAGGAAGAAAACAATCACTCCAACATAACATGAAACGACTCATGAAACGCCTTCTTGAGGCGCAGCTTTTTGCTTCTCCTGACACGTGCTCTTTCAAAGAGCAAGTCATAGACACCTCTGTTGGGGCTATGACAACCCCCCCTCATGAGGACAAAGAGTGTCTGTCCGTCTGCGGTGGAAACATCGACCACTGACATCATTCGTACAGCTTTGCCTCATAACAAACTACTTGCGCCCCTCAAAGTTGCGAAGGGCATCCTCCACCTGGAGATTGAAACATGAGGGAGGGAAAAAACTATGCTTTTGGCATGGGTTGTTACAAAATGTTGAGGACTTTGTCTACAAGCTTCAAACCTCTCTCTGCGTCGGACAATGCAATGGGCATTTCAATTTACCCAGATTGTGCCCAAAGCCGCTGGCAATATGGGAAGGAAGAGTGCAAAGTTTTTCTGCTGCGGTTAGCAAGCAGCAAATTAGGAATAATCCTGAATGCCTAAATAAAAACAGCACCAAATTTAAAAACGCATGTCAAACGCCCCTATATGTTTCTATATTGCCCCCCCTTGCTTTAAACTTTAAACTGCTGAAATGCACACCAGATCATTTTGGTGTGTTGTTGTTGTGTAATGATTTTCAATTAGGTACCCCCAGTACCCCCACTAGAATCTCCGCCAATCATGCCGCTCACCAGCGACAAGCTGAATTTACACACCCATCTGTCCCATTCACCAATGGCACGGAGCTGCGTAACCGCAAACGCACTTTCCATCGAGGCATCGCGAAACCGCAAGACACAGAGAATCACCTTTCAAATTTTATAGTTGTTATACTGATAGACACTTTGCAAGCGATTACTATCAGGCAATTTTTGCATGTAGCGGCAGGTCCTAGTTTCAACGGCTTGTCCAAACTCCAAACCCATGCCCCTGCCTCATCAAATTGGTGTGTGCCATCCACCGGCGCAGTCTTCAATTCCAGCCTGCTACCGCGAAAGACATAGAAGCGAAAAGGCCATGGTGCAAAGTGGCGCAAGAATGAGTCTTCGATTCCATCGATGGCCATTGGCCATGAAAGTTGGCAGTTGCGCTTGAACTCCAAGGCCGTCTGCAGGCGTTGCTCTGTAGTTTTCGGTTCTGCAACTTGCGGGCCATCAATGGGCCAGACGTCCATGGCATGGGCTTCGCGAATGTAAACGCACAAGAACCGAATCGTGGATCGGTTCGTTCGCCTTGAACTCATGTCATTCAGCACACGGATGGCAGCACGGAATGGTGGTCAGGTCCAGGACCCCGCACATACAACAGTGAGGTCTCCACACCATTCCTTCAGCATAGAGATCTGACCATCAAGGCCTACAAGGGGTACATCTGGCAATGGATCTCCTCGGGTGTGCTCATTCGAAGGACAAAACAAGGAACCCCTGCCTTGTCCCCGAGAGATGCAGGCAAGTGTCCTGGTTTCAGGGTGCCATCCTCTGCAAGATTTGCACGTGCATAAACGGACAGCTTTGCCAGCTCAGGTTTTACTGTGTGGGCTACCTGCATGCGCCTCACAGCAGTTTCAATGCCAGCTGCTGATCTGAAACCACTTTCCTTGATTGATGCAAAAAATACTCAACAGCGCCAGGAAAATGAGCCGGGATCCAGTTCATATCACCCAAAGGGTTCCAGGAAACTGCCTGATCAAGGCCCCTTGTTTCTCAGGTTGCCCCGGAGAATGATCGATGACACACATGCACAAGAAAGAAAACAGTGAAAACCACAAGCAAGTGTGTCTCAAAAAAGGTTGCAGTCCCAACCTTGAAGGCCCTTTAAAAGGAATTCATCCCACTCACTTTGCATCACTTTACAATATTTATATTACATAATGGGCCGCGACTTAATTTTGGATCTTTTTGTTGTTCTTTTTTGATTTTGTTGTTTTTCGTGTTTCGTGGCAGGTGCGGTACTTTGTGGACCTTGCAAAGCACATTTCGTGGCAGGTGCAGGACTTTGTGGATGTGGAAGTGCAGGGTTGGTGGCAGGTGCAGGACTTTGTGGGCCTTGGAGTGCAGATTTTGTGGCAGGCGCAAGACTTTTTGTGGGCCTTGAAGTGCAGATTTCGTGGCAGGTGTAGTACTTTGTGGCCCTTGGAGTGCAGATTTCGTGGCAGGCGCAGGACTTTGTGGACCTTGAAGTGCAGATTTCGTGGCAGATGCAGGACTTTGTGGATGTGGAAGTGTAGAGTTGGTAGCAGGTGCAGGACTTTGTGGGCCTTGGAGTGCAGATTTCGTGGCACGCGCAGTGACTTTGTGGACCTTGAAGTGCAGATTTCGTGGCAGGTGCAGTATTTTATGGATGTTGAACTGCAGATAGATAGAAAGATAGAAAGATAAATGGATAGATAGACAAATAGATAGGTAGGTAGGTAGATAGATAGATGGATAGTATAGATAGATAGTATCGATAGATAGTATAGACTAGATAGATAGTATAGATAGATAGTATAGATAGATAGTATAGATAGA